GGGAACACAGGCATGTACCTGGCTAGTTTTTTTTTTTTTTTTTTTTTATAGAGAAGAGGGTCTCCTTGTGTTATCCAGGCTGATCTCGAACCCCCAGGCTGAAGTGATCTGCCTGCCTCAGCCTCCCAAAGCGCTGGGATTATAGGCATGAGCTGCTGTGCCTAGCCCTGGAATAGATGTTTTTAGCCGTGGTCCTACAGTAGTCACATAGCACATCACCTGTAAGTTTTCTTTGTGTACCAGGTAATTCAGTTGTTTCAGATGGATTTTGTATGTTAATTAAGCCTAATTTTGAAAAGTGATTATTTTCCCTTTTATAGTTTTTGATTGAATTTCTAGTGCCTGCTGTTACCCAGCACCATATAAAATGTGCTGTTCATCTTTACTGCAGAGTTTCTGCTCAGGGGGGATTTTAAATTTTCCTACAGTCTTAAGTCCATTTTCAAACAGGGGGATGAGCTAGTCATTGCAGAGGTCATAAGTTTCTGCATGTTGGAAACACTGTTAATTTCAGCATCTTTTCTGTGGTGGTGTTGGACCTTCACCTAACCCCCCTAGGGCTGACTCAGGAATCTGGGTCAGTACTGGACTCATGGAGCTGGGGTCTGAGTCACTTATTGCCTGAACTTCAGCCATTTTAATTCACCTTCACAGTTCTTACTGTATCTTTTGTTGTTGTTGGTTTCTTTTGAAACAGAGTCTCGCTTTGTCACCCAGCCTGGAGTGCAGTGGCTCGATCTTGGCTCGCTGCGACCTTCACCACCCAGGTTCAAGCGATTCTCTTGCCTCAGCCTCCTGAGTAGCTGAGACTATAGGTGGCCACCACCACACCTGGCTAATTTTTGTATTTTTTTAGTAGAGACGGGGTTTTGCCATGTTGGCCAGACTGGTCTCGAACTCCTGACCTCAAGTGATCTACCCTCCTCAGCCTCCCAAACTGCTGGGATTACGGGAGTGAGGCTGGGTACCCAGCCTAGTGTAACTAGCTTTGGATTTCAGATATTTATAGAAAATACACTTAAAGCTTCCAAATGACAGGTAATTTAGCCTGATTTTGTGGGCTTTGTGAGGACGCCCTTTGTACTCAAAAGAGGGAAAGCACTGAGTTTGGCAGTAGAATGGGATCTGGGGTGCTTACTCTACGGCTTTAACTTTTCTAACTTTATACATGTGTGCAGTTCATGCATTCACGAACTGTTTATTGAGTGCATACTACTGTATGTACTGGGGCTTGGAGATGCCACAGTGGCAGAAACAATGTCCCTCCTTTGGTGGAGCTTCCATCCTAGCATGAAGGACTGGCGCTAACACAGACGAGATAATTTCAGACGGTGGCAGGTGCTATGAAGGAAATAGAACAAGGATGTGACTCCAAAGTAGAGGGGCCAGGGACAGTCTCATGGGAGGGGACATATGAGCAGAGACTCAACTGGGCCATTGGTGAGGTTGCGGCTGTGGAGGGCGCCTGCTTCCTAGTCAGTGCAGGAACACTGGGTGCTGTGTGATTCCATCCACAGGACAAGCCTGGAACTGGCAGATCTATAGAGACAAAATTGTCCTGTGGTGGCGGGGCTGGGTGGGAAGGGGAGACTGCCACTGGGCAGGAGGAGTCTTTTGAGGTCAGTGGGAAATGTCTGAAAACTAGATTGGGATGCTGGCTGCACACTCCAACTTCACGAAGGAGCCAAGGATCTAGCCAGGCGGAGGCTCATGCCTGTAATCCCAGGGCTTTGGGAGGCCGAGGTGGGAGGATTGCTTGAGCTCAGGAGTTTGAGACCACCCTGGCCAACATGCTGAAACCCCTTCTCTACAAATTGTTTTTTTTTTTTTTTTTTTTAATTAGCCGGGGGTGGTGGCCTGTGTCTGTAATCCCAGCTCCTCCAGAGGCTGAGGTGGGAGGATGGCTTGAGCTCAGGAGGTCAAGGTTGCAGTGAGCCGAGCTCGCGCAACTGCACGCCAGCCTGGGCCACAGCGGGAGACCCTGTCCAAAAAAAGCAGCAGCACGTCCGGGCGCGGTGGCTCACGCCGGTAATCTCAAGCACTTGGGGAGGCTAAGGCAGGTGGATCACCTGAGGATAGGAGTTCAGACCAGCCTGGCCAACATGGTGAAACCCAGTCTCCACTAAAAATACAAACAAATTAGCTGGATGCATTGGCGTGCACCTGTAGTCCCAGCTATTTGGGAGGGTGACGCAGGAGAATCGCTTGAACCCGGGAGGCGGAGGTTGCAGTGAGCTGAGATCGCGCCACTGCACTCCAGCCTGGGCGACAGAGCGAGACTCCGTCTCAAAAAAAAAAAAAGAAAAAGAAGCAGGAGCACAGAGTCGTGCGCTCGGAACGGGTGAGCTTCGTGGCGTGTAAACTCGGCGAGACTCGTCCAGCAAAGCCGGGAGTTAGCGCGGGCTGCAGCGCTGCGTCGGGTCCGGCTGAGAGCCAGCTGCCGCGGTTGCCCCGCCGGGTTCGCGCTGGTTGGCCCTTACGCCACGGCGTGGGGCCGCAACCTCCGGCGCCCATTGGTAGGCCTGTGGGGGGCGGGGCGCGGGGGCGGAACCGGAACCGGCGGTCGCTCGGGGGCGGGGCTTCGCGGGCTGCTGTGGCGGCGGCTGGAGCTGTAGCCGCGGTGGCGGAACCGGAGGCGGCAGCTGCATCCTGGAGCCCCATGGTGCAGGGCCGCGTCCAGGCCACTGGAAGAGTTCGAGGCCCGGTCCGCGCCGGCTGAGTGTGCGGGCCCTTGCGGCTCGGAACCTCCGCCGTCCGTCGAGCCTCTCCGGGCGCGGGCCGGCCGGCCATGGGGTCCCTGTTCCGGAGCGAGACCATGTGCCTGGCGCAGCTCTTCCTGCAGTCGGGCACGGCCTACGAGTGCCTCAGCGCTCTGGGCGAGAAGGGCCTGGTCCAGTTCCGAGACGTGAGTGTCGCCCGGGAGACGCGGGCCGCACCTGCCCTCCTGGCGCTCCCCATCCCGCGGGTCGCTGGGGTCCTCCCGCCGCGAGCGCTGGGGAAGGGCGCGCCCGGTCCCCATTGCCCAGACGGGGAAGCCGGCGCCCCAGCTCAGCAGCCAGAGCTTCTCGGAGCGCGGGGCTGACCCCAGAGTTGCCGGCCGTCTGTGTGGTCCGCGGCTGCTCTGCCCGGGTTAGTTAGGATCGCCCCTGTGTGGTCATTGTTAGCTCGGGGCACCAAGCTCAGCGGGAGATGAAATCCCACAAAGGCCTCTTGGAGTCCTTTTGGAATTTACGGGGGTTAGGGAGGGCACGTTAACCAAATAAATCAGAATATGTCAACCAGAAAATATTTGCTATAGAGAAAAAAATGGGTGGTGTGAAGGTGATTCTGGTGGGAGGTGCGTTTGAAGGGGTAGTCAAGGAAGGCCTCCTGGAGAAGGTGATATTTCAGCTGAGGCCAAAATAGAAAGGAGCCAGCCTTGGGGAAGATCTAGGGAGAGGGTCCTTGTTGGAGGGAACAGGAAGAGCCCAGACAGAGCCTGAAATGGGAAGGAGCTGGGTGGCAGCTCCTTGAGGAGAGGGATTTTTGTCTGTTTTAGTCACTGATGCATGTGTGTAAGGACTTAAAAACTCAGTCATTATTTGTTGAATGGAAGCGGTCTCCCCTACAAGTAATAAACATTTGTTTGTCCACTTGCTTGTTTATTGTTTGTCTCCACCAAGGACTGTCAACCTCTGAGGACAAGGAGCCTCGCACAGTCCTTGGCAGTCATTGGCATCAGTAGGCATTTGTTGAATGAACAGACAAGCTTTTCTTGACTGCCTGCTATGTTCAGGCACTGTTTTTGGTGCTGGGGACTCTGTGGTGAGCAAGGCAGACACAATCCCTGTGTTCCTGGAGTTCCTGGTGTGGGAGGAGACAGATTAAACACACTCTGATGATGAGCTGTGATAAGTGCTAAGAAGGCAAAGAACAGGGCGTGGAAGGGAGACCGTGAAGCAAGTCCATACTGACTGAATTGAAATCCACTCAGGCGAACATTTTATTTCCTGGCCACTACTTTCATCTCCTGTTTCTCTTCATCTTCCTGAGGGGTCCTTAATTTCAAAAGGGAAGAGCCCTACCGCAGATCTGATATCAGCTGATATAAGATATCTAATATCAGATCAACCCCATAAGGCGGTTGCAAAGTCGGAAAAACCCCTGAGTGACAGGCGAGGGTGCAGGGCGGTTCCAGGTTCCTGGAGCCACTTGGATTTCTGCAGGTTGCACTCATTCACCTGGTGGATGCTGCGCTGAGCTGTGAGTAGCACCCAAAGATTCAGGCAACAGTTGCAGGCGCAGTAGCAGGTAGATGTTTGTACAGGTAGATGTTTGTAGCAG